ATGAAAAGGAGAGGCAAGAGCCCAAGTGTAGTGGGGAGAAAAACCATAAAAATCTGATATGTGAAGGAGCCACGTGCTACCCGGGATTGGCCTTTGGAAAGAAAAGATGATTCAGCCAGAAGGAACGCTGTTCTCTGCCAGCCTCAGGTTGCAGGGCCTTTAGGACACACACCTCTGTGGCTGGGCCATGCTCTTCCTAGGCAGCCTCCAGCTAGCAGCTGAGCACCAACATGTTGCTTCTCTAACATGGCAATATTTTCTCCCAGCTCTCTGATGGCTTGGCCAAGACTTTGTAGATCTGCCTCCTCTTTTGAGGTTCTCCATGTCTAATTTTCTTTCCTTTCATCTGTATCAGTTCTGAAGACTTTCAGCATCATGTTCTGAAGACTTTCCTGCCCAAATCCATAGTCTCCTCCTTTTCTTTTTCTTTTCTTTTCTTTAAAGATTTGTTTATTTATGCACACAAGAGCTGGCGTATAGGCCAGAGGTGCAGGGGTGTGACAGTAGGGAGCAGAACAGGTGGATTGACTGAAATACACTGCTGAGGGGAGCAGTGGGCAAGACAGGAGAGGTCTGCTGAGCCATGTGGGTATCTCCCTTACCGGTCTTGGGATATTGAATCGAACTTGTGCTGCAGAGGCTGCGGATAGCTTCATAGTGCTGTGCTTAACCCCTTGCGCCACCAGGGAGGCACTCCTCCTTTTATTTTTCTGCACATAATTCTCTGAATCTGGTTCCTGGAGGACCCACCAGAATGTATCAGTAGTTTGTAAAATCAGTGTTGCTAAGAAAGGGTATAAATGTATATACCTAAACATTCACCAAGTAAATCTGATGCAAATGCTATGAAGTGTGAGGTTAAATTAATTGTGTGCCAATGTTATGAGAATTTTTCAAGCATTTACTGTATATTTTTAGTCTGCTTAACATTGCTTAATTTCTTTTAGTAGGAGAAACCAAAAAAGCCCCTTGCTTTTTAAATTTTTCGTCATCATTGCAGAGGGATCATTTGCATGTTGTTTTCTTCATATCATTTTTTAAAAGCAGAATATGCTCAGTACGTTAAATACCTGATGTCTTAAATTGCGCAGGGATTTATATGCCTCTGTTTTGACCTGAGATTGCAATATTTACTAAAAAGGAGGTTGTGAAGATATAAGATTTATAGTCTGCTGTTCTCTAGAATGCCTGAACCCAGTATCTCCATGCCCATAATTGGGTTCAAATCACTAAGACACTTTTTTTTTAAAGATTTATTTATTTATTTATTTATTTATTTATTTATTTATTTATTTATTTATACAAGAACTGGGGTGCAGGCCAGAGGCATGGGAGGGTGAGAGAATTCACCAGAAAAAGAGCAGGGAGCAGAAAAGGCAGAGTGACTGAAATACACTGCTGAGGGGAGCAGCATGCGAGACAAGAGAGGTCTGCTTCACCATGTGGGTTGATCCCTGTCCGGCTGAGGATCGAACTCGTGCTGCAGAAGCTGTGGATTGCTTCACAGTGCAGTGCTTAACCCCTTGTGCCACCAGGGAGGCCCTTTATTTATATTTTAAAACACGGGTATTTAAAATCTATTTATTTTAGTTAGTTATTTTATGGAGGTAACATTGGATGACACTGTATATACTTTAGGGGCATAGATTCATGTCTCTTCAAATACATATACCACACCACACCCACCATCAGAGCGCCAGTCCTCCACCAGAGTCCATTGGGCTCTCTCCTTTCTGTTTCTTTGCTGTGCAGAAGCTTTTTAGTTGGCTAGAGTTCCATTTCTTTATTTTTAGTCAAGTTAAAGCCTCTGTTTCAAAAGTCACCTCCAAGTAATTGCGTCTTTTCTGTCAACAGGTTTTGTTATTTATTTATCTATTTATTTTTTGAAAGATGTTGTTGGTGATTATCAGCATATTTTATTTATTTGATAAATGATGCATGTTTATTATTTTAAATGCCAAATCATTCATCTGTCATTTGTTAAGTCTTAGAGTACAATTTTTATGTGTGTGTATGGCTCTATGTGCTTTAAACTATTTTGACCCAGTTCAGTGAAAACACCTGAAAGTATTGTGTTAAAGAGGAGTATGCTCAGTACAGAAATGTTTCTATAAAGATAATGAGCATGTATTGATATTAATTAACCTATATATGTATATTACTTTCAAAACAAGACTCTAACAAATTGTCATAAACAGAAGAAAAATGTGCTATCATATGTAGTTCTGAAGGTTAGACATCCAGAGCATAGGTTTTGGCAGGGTTGGTTACTTCTGAAGGTTCTGAAGGAGCACATTCTGTGACTCCCAGTTCCTGGTGGTTCCCTGAAATCTTTGGTGTTCTTTGGTTGTGGCACATCCCTCCCCAATTTTTCTTTCTTTGTCATCATTTGGTGTTGTTCTGTGTCTCTCTTTATGTTTCCTTTTCTTATAAGGGCATTAATCATTTTGGGTTAAGTCCCACCCCAATTCAGCATGACCTCATCTACTTCCCAATGAGAACACATTCACAGGTATTGGATATTTGGGAAGACACAATTCAACCCATAGCAATATGTAAAACAACATTTTTGTTATCCTTTTGAATTTCATTGGTTTTAACAACTATTTTCTCATTTGATTTCAAATATATTACTTCTTTCACTGTATATCTTCCTTCCTATGATATTTTGAAAGTAATTGTTATGACTCATAATTGTTTCATATTTAATCTTGGACCATTAATATTAATTAGAATGTGAAATGCCACTTATAAATTAATTAAGTCAATGAAATGCAAAGTAGTTTAAATATTCTGAAGGTTTATATCAAAATGTTAATCATCTGATACTCCAACCTAACTCTCTTCTAAATCTTTTTAATTTCTGATTGGAATTTCTTAATATAGAAATTGGAGAATTATATCATCTTCAATTCTCATATTCTAAAATATCCTAAAGTCTAAATCTAACATATAGGTGTTAGATTAAATTTCATGTCCTGTCATAAACATAGCTTTTTTTTTATTAATGTTTAGTATGTATTCACAAACACATGAAAGATGTAGACTTTAGATAGAACCTAAATTTAATTCCTTGTTCTGGTATTATTAAGCTTTCAATTTCAAAGAAGTTATTTAACCTCATCTGCACACTTTTGCTAGTTGTTTGGAGGATTAAATGACAATAACTAATGTGTATGCAACACTGAGTGTGTAAGCTAGACATTGTTTTAGGTGCTTTACATATATTAACTTGTCATTTTTATGCAATATACCTATAAAACAACTACTATTTCTATTCTCATTTTAAAGGAGGGAAACTGAGATTCAAGAAGTTTTAGTAGTTTTCCGAAGTTCAGTTAGCCAATGATGATGCAGCTGGCATTTGAACATGAACATTTTGGTCTCGAAGTCCACACTCTTAATAACATCATATTGCCTTTCCAGTAAATGATTTATCCCAGAGCCTGACCCAGTGGTCTGTGTGCCTTTTGACCATCAGAGGAGATACATTCAGTTACCTCTATATATCTTTGGGTTAATATTTTACATTGAAAAAAAGCACAATATTTTGGGGAACTATAAATACTGTTCTTTGCCTCTGACCAGTAATGTCTTATTTCAATTAGTTTAATCTTAAAGATACCTAACTTCACCATGCCTTTTATGAGTGGTCACCAGGAGAGTATCTTAGAATTTTTAATTAATAAGTACTAATGAGTGGTGTGTATGTGTGTGCATGCATATATATGAGGACACAGGGGGAGACCTAGCAATTTGTATGGGGAATATTTAAAGCACTCTCAAATTTTGAAACTTCTCAATACTTAAGTGGCCTGATAACACATAAACACTATAAAACATGAAAAAAACCTTCTTCAAACACACCAGCAAGGCATGCTGTACTCGAAACACTGTCTTCAATACAGTGATTTTATAACTTGAACCTTAACCAGGGAGCAAAGTGTAAATAGTTGGAAAGGAAATTTAACTACAAGTGATTATCTAGTGACTTATGCCATGTGTAGCACTATAACTAAGGCTTGTTTGTTTAAGTGGACATCAAGAGTTAAGTTCTGGTTCATGGCACTAGATAGTGGTGGTCCACTATCTGAGGAGGGACCCAGGGAATCTGGTAGGAGGGTAAATCAAGAGTGTCTGGCGTGTTTGAGCAGCAGGCTGTGGGAAGCCCCAGTCCTACTGCTGATAACTTATCTCTCTCCTTGCATTGAAGCTGGATCATGGTATTTAAAATACAGTCAGAGTATTTTTTTTACTGATTGTGATACTAAAGAGACATTTATATAAATTTAAATCTTTAAAAAAATTAAATTGTCATGTTTCAAACTTGCCAAAATATACAGAAAACAAAATGACACCCAATTACATATAATAGATATTAAACCACTTAGTTGTCAGAATTTTTTCTTGTGTGCTTCCAGTTTTTTCTTCCTTCTCTAAGAAACCTTAAGTATTATTTCAAACACATGAAAAACTTATATACTTTTATTACTTCTCCCATCTTCCCAGGTTATTTGGAGGCAAGTTCTAAGCCATTTTATCACTTCATCAATACATTTTTTTAGCATCAATATTTGAAAGTTTAGGGCTATTTAAATATATTCCCAATGTAACTATCCTACTGAAATAATTGTAATTCCTCAATATCCTTGAGTAGCCATTCAATATTCTTTTCTGTTTCTTTCATAGGTTTTAATAGTTTATTGTTTGAATCAGAAACAAAGTAATGTCCATATGTTACATTTAATTGATAAGTCTCTTTTTTTAAATTAATTTATTTATTTCTACAAGCACTGGGTACAGTCAGAAGCACGGGAGGGTGAGAGAATTCACCAGAGCCAGAGCGGGTAGCAGAGCAGGCAGAAGGACCGAAGTACACTGCTGAGGGGAGCAGCGGGAGGCAGGAGAGGTCTGCGCGCCACGTGGGACCCTCCTCTTGTGGCCTGGGAGCAGCCGGGGATCGAACCAGCACTGCAGAGGCTGCGGGCAGCTTCGCAACCCAGCACTCAATGGCTGCGCCACCAGGGAGGCCCTAATTGATAAGTCTCTTAACTCTCTATTGATCTGTGGATTCCTTAACTCTCTATGTTCTTCCTTACAGTTGATTTGTTGAAGAAATCCACACTCCAGATTTAATTGATTGCATCCCAGCAACTCCATTTAATATTTTTCTCTTCTCCTGTGTTTCCATAAATTAAGAGTTGAATCTAGAAGTCAAGCAGAGGTAATTTTTCTTAGTTACGGTTATCTTGAGTACTTCTGTCAGGGCCACATAACATAGGATTATTTCTCTTTAATAATTATATAGCTCAGAACATCATCATCTCTCCAAAGAAACAAAATATTGAGACAATTAAAGTCCTGTAACATTCCTCAGTCTTTCCCAGAGGGAACTCTAACCTGAATTTTGTGTTTCATTTTCATACATATTTTCACACTTTAATTACATATACATAATTTTATAAATGAGATTTAAAATGTGTTTGCATGTTTTATATTTTTACACAGTATTACACTGCATGAATTGTCTGTTTCCTTTGGGGATTGATCTATGTCGATATATAAGAAACTAATTCTTTTATTTTTAGCTATAATTTAATAGTGCATTATATGAATGACTTTCAGTTTGTTAATCAATTTTTCTACTTATGAACGTAGACATTTTTATTCTCCAGAATTATAAACAGCACAGCAATGGATTTTATTGTACCTGAATCCTTGTGCACATGGACTTACATTTCTCCAAGGTAGGTAATTGAAATTTCTGCTTTGTAGTGGTATGGAGCTGGCTTGTGCTGGTTCATGAGTCTACTGCCAAATTTTCAAAAGTTTTGTAAAGCAATTTTTAAATGCAGATACAAACATTAAATTGTATGAATTTGTAACTAAACAAATTTTATTAAGAACAAAGATAACAAATACCCAAGTTCATCACTTACTAATTGTTTTTTCCATAGTTTACTAATTTCCTATTGTACAATTATCTGTGCTCTTTGAATTATTTATACTTATTTTATCTGCATGGAGGAAATGCCATATAATGATGTGATATTGCTTATCTCTTCCCAACTCTGTGCCAAGTGGCACCACATTAACTTGAGATCAGCCATGGTGGGAATATTTACATCACAGAAATTGGATACTATTGCAAATCAGCCCTTAATTTATTGTTTTATTGATGTGTTAACCTTAAGAAAATAAGGCAAAACTGTTAATAATGCAAATTAATTTAAAAAGTTCATCATAGCTACAGTTCTTAACATCGTGAGTAGCACCCAAAGGAGGAAATACTCTTTCAATATTCAAAAACTATTATACAATAGCATATCTAATGTCACATTAAATGGTAATATTAAAATTCTTTGTAAGCAATGAACTATTTAGTGAATGATGGAACAATTGAGAAGCTTAAGTCACACCATACAAAAAATAAATAGCTCATGGATTAAAAAACTTTAAAAAAATTATTTTTATTTATGTATGCATACAAAAAGTGAGGTATAGGTCAGAGGTATGGGAGGTGAGAGGATTCACCAGAGACAATGTGGGGAGCAGAATAGGGGGATCTGCTGAAATACACTTCTGAGGGGAGTAATAGGCGGGCAAGATAGTAGGGGTCTGCTGCATCATGTAGGTTAGCTCCCTGGCTGGGGATCAAACTCATGCCACAGTGACTGACAATAGCTTGATAGTGCTGAAATTTTAACCCCTACGTACTAAGGGGCTCCTGGATTAAAGAACTTAATACACAAAACATTTTTCTGTCGAAAGAAAACATAACAGGCACCACCCAGATCCATTTTCAAGAAAACTACAAGCTGTATGGATAGTTTTCAAGGAAACTACAAGCTCCAGCTCTTAGCTTTGTTCAGCTTTCAATCCAAGTTCACACTGTTCTTGGAAGAGTATCAACCAGTGACTAAGCAGCAGGGTGTAATTCAAAATTCTAACCACTTTCATCCAACATGACTCTGTGGATGCACAATCTTTGCTTTAGATCTCCAAGTGGGCAAGTGGAGACTTGTCAAATCTTCACCATGGTCTGCTCCCTAACCATTTTTGCTTCTTCTTTTTAAAAAATTTCTTGGTGTCACTATCCCCATAAAACCTTCGTGTGTTTGGCTTCATCTCAGTGCCTGCTTCTTCAAGGAGAACCCACTTGTAACACTTTTTATAAGTTAGAGTTAGGAAAGGATGTTTTCTCCTCTAGTTAAAAAGTTATACAATGTGAGTCTGTTGTATTTTTGTTGGAATTATTGATTATATTATGGCATAGCTTGTATAAACCCCACTAACTTTAGAAGCTTGTATAAACCCCACTAACTTTACAGACTAGGTTTTAAAAGTTGAAATATAAAAGTGATTATCTTCCCACCAGCAGTGAACAAGTCTTCTTTTTGTTTACATCCTGTCCAACATTTCTTGTTTTGCAATTCCACTCCAAGGTATCTACCTAAAAATACAAAATAATTAATTTGAAGGGCGTATGTATTCCTATGTTCATTGTAGTCCTATTAATAGTAGTTAAAATGGAGACTGCCTAAGTGCCCAAGGACAGAGGAGTGTGGCAGAAAAATGTAGCAAACACACACACACACACACACACACACACACACAGTGGACTACTACTCAGCTATAAAAACAGGAACAACTCTTGCCATTTGTGACAATATGGATTGAACTAGACAGGATTATGCTAAATAAAGTAAGTGTGAAGGAAAAAGACAAACAATGGATGATTTCACTCCTCTGTGGACTATAGAGAATATAAGGAAATAGAAATACAACACAGGGGCAGTCAAAACCAAACAAATAATAAATTCTTAATATCTGACTGCAAAGTTATGCAACCAGAGAGAGTGGGAAGAGGGAGGGCACTCAGTGGGACATGATAGAGCGTTGTTGGAGCACTGGTGGAGAGCTTGGTGAGAAAAAACACATTTAAAGAGTTTTGAACCTATTACCTCCAAAGCAGATACAGCAATGTAAACCAGCTTTATTTCAATAAACATAATTTGGGGGAAAAAAGATTCTTAACTGTCTAATAATTTTTAAAAAGTGTCTTTGGTGGTGGGATATTGGTTAAAAGTTTCTTATTTATTCTTTATATTCTTTAATTTTTTTTTAATTTCTAAGAGTTAAGTAAAAAATTATATTTCTTTATTGTGGTGCTTGTAACAGTGACTGGGAGCTTGTTTATTAATTCTTCTCAATTCAATAAATATTTGAGAACCTACTGGTTTCCAAACATTGTTCTAAAATGGCAGGAGAATCAAATGCAACTAAGATTGTCCTTGCTCTATGGATCATACAAATGAGAACAAGGCAGGAGACACTTAGTAAACTAAGACACTTAGTTTGGTCAATTGATTGTATTCTAGTTTAATTTGTTTTGGTCAAATTAGCTTTGATAGAAAGAGGTAGAAATCACCCTCTACATTTACTTGAGGAAAGAATTCATCCTTTTTTTGGTGACATAGGTCTTTCTCACCTTATGTCTAAAAGGCACTAGGAACTAACTGCTGTGTGAGAAGGAGAACATTTCTTTCAGCACTTAGCTGGTTAGTTGGCATTCTCCTATGTACACCACCAGGTCCCTATTAGCTGAGGGCAACACACAGGCGATACAATTATAAAAAGACTGTGCAAATAGGAGTATACTTCTACCACATACGATTATGTTCTGAGATCCTTCTCTTAATCTCTGATAGTAACCCTCCCCTCCCTAGAGTTGCAAGATGAGCACCATATGTTTTGAAATAGGAGTATGAATGAAAGTTACTTGACAATAAAATAAGATACAACTTTTTTTTTAAAGCTACTTCGATTAATATTGAATGAAGAATGTGTAGGAATGAAAAGGAAACAGTTGTGTTCTAAGACTTTGAAATAAGTTGGCCCCAAATCTCTTATGACAGAGAGAAATATGTGTCTGATGAGGCCAGGGGCATGAGGCTATACTCTATGATAGTGATGATTTAGAATCTTGCATTGCAAAGTTTTCGGTACTGTGTATAAATTGTAACACCCCCACATCCATTGGATATGAATGAGAAAAGATACTCTAACTCATCTTAGTCAACCTTCAAAGGAAAGCTAATCAGAAGAGAAGCTGAGGGAGGAGGAGAGAGGACAAATTTTATGTGTAACCTGTCAGAGCAGTAGTCTCTGAATTTAGTCTTTCCAAAGAGAAAAAGATTGCTTATTGTTTTCTTTGTAGATCTATCACAATCTGGCAATGTCCCCAAAACTAAATTTATTCCCTAGGGTCTTAGAGCCAGAAAAAGACAAAGGAGAGAATTTTCTCATGGACCATCCAGGAAATGGAGTGAATATTTGGTGCAGTTGAAGTTAAAAAGGAAAAACCTTGATGACTAGAAAACTTCTGTGCAATTTCTGTGTTTGGTTTATTTTTAATTTAAAATGAAGAAGCCTGAGAAACAACAATCATAAAAATATTTCATAGACAGTTTCCTTAAGTTTAATTGCACATTGTTGAAACTCTTATGGCCAGATATTTAGGGAAGAAAGAGGAAACTTAGTTCCTAGTGACTTTCTGTAGTGGTTATGAAGATTAGGATGATGTACTCTACATGCCTAGACTAGAAATCCAGGAATTCAGGGACTGAAACTCCTGACAAGTCAAAAGGCTTCCCTTTAAGCCCCTCTTCACATGAAACACCTCCCAAACCATGAGACTTACAGGGGATCAGCTATGTTGTGATCCTTCACTAAACAAAACTAATGTTTTTCTTCTATTTATGGCACTTTCCCCCACATCTTTATTATCTGAGAATAAAATATAGCTTATGTTGATGGTCCATCATTATGCAATTGACTGCATTTCTTTCTTTCTTGATGATAGGTAAGATAATGGCCCATTTTATAATAGATTAAGTGATATATCACAATAATCATGAAAATAATCATAATAATTTCAGCTCCATTTTGGGGACCTTCTTTGTACTAGTCACTGTGCTGAGTGCTTTACAATAGTATTTAATCAGGGCCTCCCTGGTGGCACAAGGGGTTAAGAACCACACTATGAAGCTATCTGCAGCCTCTGCAGCACGAGTTCGATACCCGGCTGTCCAGGGAGCAATCCACATGGTGCAGCAGACCTCTCCTGACTCGCCCGCTGCTCCCCTCAGCAGTGTATTTCAGTCAGTCCACCTGTTCTGTTCCCCACTCTGTCTCTGGTGAATCCTCTCACCACCGCTCCCATCTCTGGCCTGTACTCCAGCTCTTGTATGCATAAATAAATACATCTTTAAAAATTAGTATTTAATCAAATGCATTTCTCACAAAAAGGTAAAGAATTTTCTTCATCTTATGGGTGACCTTACCTTGTAAGAAGTAAGGACTTCCAGAAGGCAGGTCTATCTGAATCTGAACTCTATTTTCTTTGTACTGTGTTACATTGCCTCTCAAGATAATAACTGCTTCTTGTTACCAAGACCTAGTGATAGTAACAACAATGATATAATGATAATATCAGCAATACTGACAAGGCATTTATATACTGTGTATGTAATCATTTAATAAACCATACCTATAACATAGGTACATTTACCATTATCCTTATTTCACAGAAGAGGAAACCGAAGCACAGAGACTGTGCCGAGGACACACAGCTAGTCAGTGACTGAGCCACACTGAGCAAAGGGGCAGTGTGACTGTTCTATCTTGTTTCCCCATGCAGGTTAACATTCAGCCTCAGGAAGCTCTTCTCCCAATAACAGCACTTAGCCCAGAGTCCACAGGCTTTGAGCACCTTTCATTCATTTGTTTTTCTGGAAACAGGTCAATGTAGCTTCTGTTTTTTAATTTTTCCCTCCTCCCTACATGTTTCAATAGAGAACAGCATTTTTAAGGTTGCAAAAGAAATGTAAATAATGCTCCTCCCTTAGAGGATTTACCAGGAATTAACCACATAAAAAAATTAAGTACAAATTTTTGTACTTAATGTGAGCTAAACAATTGCTTATGTTATACAAATAATCTTCATAACAACCTATTACTGTACTCTTTTTATAGATAAAGATGTCAATTGAAGGTGAGACATATACAATAATGTGCACAAAGACACATCAATAATGACAGAACAGGTACTCTAAGCTCAGTCTGTCTTGTGCCAAAGTCAATATATAATTAGTGGCCCAAGCATAAGCGGTCAATAGAAGGAAGGACAGGAAGAGAGAGGGATCTGAAACGGAATCAATATAGACCCCATTTGCAACATTTAAGTTCATCTAGAAGATAGAGAAAATGCTAGGAAGCTGTAGAAACAATATGAGGCAAAGTGTGAGAGACAGAATAACTTTTATGTTGGGAACAGTGGCACTGAAAGGAACACATTTTGCAGCAGTGGGGGTAAGCTAAGCTAACATTTAATATCATAATGCTGACCTTAAAGATCATGTGAAAAGTGTGAACCTCAATAGGAGCCCATGTGTGACCATTAAGTCCCAAAGTAGTGTCTGAAGGATGATATCATAACTAATTAAATAAAATGATCACTTAAACAAGAGAGGGCATATCCACTGAACTACAACTGAGATTAATGGAAATTCTACAGTTGAAATCTAAATTCTGGCAAATGATGTAGAAAATCTGGCCAAGCTTTTACCACAAATCTGCTGCTTTTATAAGAAATAGCCAAAGATCTTCACAATAATGCCCAACTGAAAAAACCCAGCATGCATGATTTACAATATGCCACTGAATTTAAGAACATTGGAAGGAGGTTTACTTAAACCTCATGAAGACAATGATTTAGGGCATGGAATGGAGCCACCAGTGTGGGCAGAAGCTTGAAAAGTTATTGCAAAAACAGCCTGTCTTCTCTTACATGGAAAAAAACCAGAAGCAGGGAGGATTTGTAGTCAATCAGCATGTCTAAATGACGGTATCACCCTAAAAAATGTAGGTCAACATTGGACTTTTCAAAGTTAAGATGAATTTCACTTCCCATCACCTCCCTCTCCACCCTTGAAGATCCTGCACCATCATCCTTTGTGATCTACAGAATAGAATCAGCAAGGATCTGGGGCTGAGATTTGGAACAGAGTACTGTGAAATCAATACACCAGCTGGAGCAGAAGGTGCAAGAAACATAAATTTCTTGGAAAATGACCCTGTATTTTGGCAATCATTACTGTGAATATGAATTACTCCAGAATCTCAACCCAGAATAAAGCAGCAGGAATTCCCCACCCCCTACACCCAAACTCTTCTATGAGTATGGTTAATTCTCATGCTTTCCCCTGACTCACAATTGCAGGAAAGTTTTAATAATGTTTATTCCCAAATGACTTTGAAGGATTCTGTGCTATAAAACGGTATCAGACTTAATTCTATACTTTTATTGAAACTTTAAGCTCCTCTTCTCATTATGAAAACTTTTCCTTTGAAGAAAGGTTATTGTGCATGTATTTCTATGCAATGTTTTAAAGATGGAAAGCACAATAAACTTAAAATGTACTATTTGCAATTCAAATATTTTTATTTTCAACTGTAGAATCAGTATAGCAAGTCAACCTAACCTAGAACTTCCTGTAATTAAGACCACTCTGTAGAAAAGAGAGGAAAAGATAAATAAATACTTCTGCCATTTAGTCAACTTATTCTTTTGAGCAGTGCATAGTAGGGAACCTGAATGATTCTTTCTTATTCTATAGTAAATACACCATGCAAGTCAAAAAGTTTTCCCTCTGCAGGAACTGGTGTTTTTCATTCAATGTCTAGACCTGATTTGATTATGGCCTGAAGTTTGTATAATCAGGCTCACTTCACATTTTCATATGTAAGTATTTCACTTTTTAAACTCCATGTATTCTTGTGCTCTCTCAATATATCTCTGAAAAGAAAGTAGTTAATGTGTAAATGTGTAATGTGTAAATAACTTGAGAACAGAAACTCCTTTTGGAACTTGAAAGATTTGAGTTCTAGTCACAGCTCTGCCATGTAGCAATCTGGTCTTGTACCACTTTAACCTCTGGGCCTCTGATTTGTTGGTGGTTATTGTCCACTTATTATCCAAGCTATATTAACTGTGTGTCTATTACTTACTAGGTCCTGGATTAGTCACTGGAGTTACAAAAATGAACAGGGTACACACAAACTCAGCCCCTTGAAGCTTATAGCCCATAGAGGGCAATAGACATTAAACATGTCATTGCATTAATAATTATTTTGTTACAGTTTTGATGAGTACAAGAAAGGAATAATAGAATGTAGATTGACACTTCATAATGAAGTTTCCTAATCTTGCTTTTGTGGGTCTTATTTTAAAAACAGATGCAGTAGGCTCAATATGATGTTATTTATGCTAAGACCCATATCGCCAAACTGGACTTAACACCTCACCTACTTACAATTCCAGCTTGTCCCAGGATTGGGATCTTTAACTTATCAATCTGGAATTACATCATCAGCATTAGTGAGGTAATATGCCTGACAGGTCCCTGCCATCCTCCAAAGGAAGATGACCCTATCTGAAACAATCTACTCTGCTACAAACTTCCTTTCCCCATCCCCTTCTGTCTATAAAAACTTAACTTTATGCTGTCTAGTTGATGAATCTTTGAATAAAACCAGTATCTTTAAAATTTGCTTAGTTGAATTTTGTTTTTTTTAAAAGATTATTTATGCATACAAGAGCTGGGTTACAGGCCAGAGGTACAGGGGGTGAGAGGACTCACCAGAGACAGAGTGGGGAACAGAACAGGCAGACCAACCAAAATTCACTGCTGAGGGGAGCAGCAGGCTAGACAGGAGAGGTCTGCTGTGCCATGTGGGTAGCTCCCTGGCCGGCCAGGGATCAAACTCATGCTGCAGAGGCTGTGGATTGCTTCATATTGTGGTGTGTAATGCCTCACACCACCAGGGAGGCCCTGAATTTTGTTTTTTAAACAGCCCTAAATGTTAAAATGTGACTGGCTCATGAAAGGTTTA